TGGTCTCTTTCCCCTGGAGTACCGTCACCTCCGGGGGGTCCTAATTCTCACTTACGCCCTGTTTAAACGAAGCTTAGCAAACAGGTTTTTTACCGTTGACCCACCAAACACCCGGCGGGGACATAGCAAGAAAATTTTCAAGCTCAGCGCACACACATTCATTAAACAAAATTAAACAAAACTGAGAACATAAAGAGCAGTGCTACACCCCTTTTCCACTTGTGCCTTTCAGGTGAACGACAGCCACTGACCGACAAGAACAAAACTGACCCGGGAAACTTGGGCAAAATCCTCGATCCTGTGTATCAATCCGTGAATCCGTGAAAAACATTGCTACGTGTAGCTCTTTCAACACCGACTTTTTGAAGACCAGATTTGGTGTTGATTAGAATTTCGAGGCAAAGTTTCACCTTCCTGGATTCTTGGGTATTTTGGTGCGGTTTGATCAGAAAGATGTCCCTTTGAGTCCCTGGGCGCTGGTGTCGGCCCTAAGAAATAATTCTTTTGGTGGCGATCCCGTGAGGGGCGCTTTCGTAGATGACTGTGACTTGAAGCTAGCCATAAGTTTTTCGATTCATTGAATCTTATGTGGATTGTTTGGCTCCAGTCGCATTCCTTTCGTGTTTGTGCCGACACCCGATCCGCTGACGATCAGCGTGGCTCACACGGCTAAATTTCGCACTCTGTAGTAGAACAGAAGGCACGGTCGCTTCATACCACCCTCTATGGAGACAAAGGAAGAGTATTACAACCGTATTTACATGGTCATCACAGAAGTTTTTAAAAGGTTATGCTACAATCCCCGTGAAGTTTTGGAGGTATCGAGCTATCGACGATGACATTCTGACCAATCAGTGCATGACTTCGTTTGGTCCGTAGCCCGCACTGACATCCGTTCAATCGACACGCCGCTCTGTATACGGTGTGTCCGGTTGGTTGATGTATATATGAGTACTGGTGATGTATAACCTTACATATTGGGCTTCGGCTGATGAGAACTCTTCCTGTTTTCCATCCACAGAAATTGTCGCGAACACCCGCCTTCGAAGAATCACTGTCTTGGTGATTCCATAGCGTGCATATATGCACGCTGTAGTATACTACAGCTGTTCGATTTCAGTGGTCACTGGTCTCCGGGTAATTGTGCCTACTTTGCAATATCGGTCTGCTTCAAATTGCTCCCAATTTGTTGTGCTGGTAGTCATCTTTATACCAGAAGGCGTGTGATCTCCATATCCCTGGCAGCACAGCTCGGTTATTAGTCGGTTGTATGGCGGTCTAGCATATGCTAGACCATACTTCTCAGATGTTTTCGTCTCTTTCGCGTATTCGATGGCACATTAATCCTTCCATCTGGATTTTCAAGTGGAATAGTGGTGTTTTCTTAATGTGCTATGAGTAGATTATTTGCTCGCATAGCAAAATATGTGGATATATGAATGCTTGAGTCGGACTCTAATACAGCGGCAAAAACCTACGACATGTTGGAAAATTACTCCGCAAAAAGCCAAAGATAGGGAGCACGAGATGTTGCACGTGTCTATACTTTGTAGATGATATCTGTAGTCTGGGTACACATGACCTTCGCAGTGACATCACCATCTCATTGTACGGAGGCGGATGGCTCAGTAGTTAGAATGCGAATTCACTGGCCGGAAGGTCCGTGGTTCGAACCCGACCTCTGCATCTCGACTTCTGTCCAGTCTCGGGCGACCTGGCAGTATTCCAGACCTCATGCTTCCTTCAGCTGGCGTGGCAGCTAGACACCGAAAGGGTACCCTTTCGCTGAACGATATATTTTATGTTTACACGGTATCGAATAGCGTCCGTGTGATTAGAAAATGGATGTTTGTCTGTGCAATTGGCGTAAAATATCCAGCACAATCAGCTGCGGTAGTTGGGCCATATGCTCCACATATCGAGCCGTCGACTATCGAGGATTTTATTCTTAATCCTTCCTCCAGAATGTCGCAAATTGAGAGTGAGCAAAGTATGACTGTAGAAGGGCGCGAGTGAATTTTCAACGGCTTGAAGCAACTTACGTTTGGTTCATGGTTAATGGCTGAATATTATATTTAACCAGGATTAACTGAAGTGATCAGACGGCAACCTATGCTCCATAAAGGCGCGTATAATGGTCTCATCGAATTATGTAAGAAAAGAATTCTGATTAAAACTCCACATCACTAATTTGTCGCCACGATTGTTTCGCCTTAGATAGGCGCCAGCTTACTCAGAGTAGGTGTTCGTTTCTGAAGTCAGTGCTTTCCAGAAGCATACGATTGCCTGTGAACTGCAAAAGCATTTGGTGGGTTAGATCATTCTGCCCTATGCTCTGATTAGCCCAAAAAAGTACAGGCAAGCTATATCATTTTCTGCTGATATGTTGACAGTGATAAGTATCGATACTTTGGATCTTTTGGATCTTTTGCTCCTTGAGAAGCTTTTGATTCTGATTTCTCACAGTTGGTGTTCATTATCTTCGTGTACAATGCTTTAATTACTTGTGTTTACATACTGTCGTTTGACTTGCAGAACCGTCTTGAATGACGCTACAAGTAACCAGAGCGTTCAAAACCCGATAGAAGCATTCACTTCCGTTTACTTCACTGATGACGTCCCCTGACGGAGTGCTTAGCATTTCTAATGCTCTATCCTCTACTTTCAAGCTTTCATCTTTCAAGAGCTCCTTGCAAGAGCAAGCTGTTCGTTGTGTGTTTCGACGTATGTATTCTTGTTACGCTAACTGCGCCTTGCAGGTCAACACGACATATTTATCTCCATGCCAACTGGTTCTGGCAAATCCTTGTGTTTCCAGCTACCTGCAGTCTGCCATCTTGGTGTTGCATTGGTTGTGTCCCCTCTTCTCGCTCTGATAAACGATCAGCTTGCTCACTTGCAACACCTCGGAATAAACGCCATAACAATAAACTCCAAATTGAATTCAAAACAACGCCAAAGTCTTATTGATAGTCTTTTACATACTTCACTATATTCCCCACATTTCCCCAAATTATTGTACGTTACCCCAGAACAGATACAGACTGCTTCATTCTCTGTTCTCGCCAACAGTCTTTCAAATAAAGATGCGATCAGTTATTTCGTGGTTGACGAAGCCCATTGTGTTTCGGAATGGGGCCACGATTTCAGGCCAGCTTATTTGGGTCTGGGCAAGGCCCGTCAAACATTTTTTCCGAATATCCCGTGTATCGCTCTCACTGCCACTGCGACGGCCCGTGTTCAAGATGATATTATTAAAAGCTTAAAGTTAGGATTGTCCAGTCCCGGCAAAGGTGGTTTGTCTTCACCGTCTCTCGGCTTCCGGACTTTTAAATGCGGCGTCTTTCGCCCCAATCTATTTTATGACGTCACTTTCTCTGATCTTTGTGAAACTCCTCATGAGGATGTTTTCAGTTACGCGTCGGCTTGCCTCTCTTGGGACGGATCAGTAAAGAAGTCCTGGGTAAGCAGCTGAATAATTTTTTTAAATTTCATATACCTAGGATCACATCGGGTCCGGCATCGTTTATTGTCGAACGCGATCTGACTGTGAACTGATGGCAAGTAGTTTGAGTGGACGCGGGCTACCCACCCGAGCATATCATGCTGGCTTAACAAAGACAGCCCGCGAAAATGTGCAGAACGATTGGTCGGCTGGAGTATTTCCAGTGGTGGCTGCAACAATCAGTTTTGGCATGGGTGTGGATCGGGCCAATGTGAGGTGAGATTACCATATTTTGTAGCTTTTCAACAATTCTCAAGGGGTTGGGCACTTCTCTAAATCTCGTTTCCAATTAACGATTCTGGGAGTTTCAATCTAAAGTGTATTTCCGCTTCTTTTCTTAAATACCCTTTGTGGATTACCAGGACATGGACCAGTAGCCAACCCAAAAAACGGACTTCCAACCCTTGTCTCCGTAGTGTGATTTTTGTGTTTACGTTTGATCGCTTAATTATTCACTGGGTTGACGGAACATAATATGCCCACGAAGTTTGCTTATTCCTTGGCCGGTGGTTAGAGCGCGAATTTACTGAGCGGATGGTCCGTGGTTCGAATCCGAGTGGTTCGAACCGACCTCTGTCTCTCGGCTTCCCGTCTAGGCCTGGGCCAACTGGCCGTATCTCAGCTCTCGTGCTTCCTTCGGGTAGCACGGCAGCTAGGCACAGGATGGGTCTTATATCTGAGTGATTCTTCTCCAATTCACCCGTGTTGGCGAACTTCGAAATTGGGTAGCGTACAGGTGCACCTAAAACACTGTTATAAAGACAGTTTCGGACAAGACATTGAACTCGTGGTATGTAAAAAAAAACCCTGGAATTTTCAATGAGGTGGATGTCAATGATTGACAGGCACAGTAACTGAGACACACGTCACCTGAACCGATGATCACACCAATAGGAAACAATGTGGTACGGAGGAATGATAAAGAGAACCTAGGCCGCTCCTTTTTCTGGAAATGTATGTGATAAGCATATTGGTGCTGTTCTCGCAACAATTACCGACAACTGAGTACCGAGAAACGGTTTAGAACTAGAGTAGTTGTGCTTGTGGCGCTGTATAACCCCAAGCCCAAACACTTTGAGGTCTTTTCAAGTTTTGGAGGGAACAAGATATTCCCCGTCGTCGTTGCAAGTTGGTTTAATTAAGCAGCTGACGAAACTCTCTTTTGGGATGTAGGCCTAGAGTGTTATTCTAATCAGTGGAACGTCCTGACTTCAGCTTCATCAGTTCTCTGTCGGCAGCTTTCTCCTGTTTTCGCAACATGAGTTCCACGACATACTGAGTTTCATCTTTCCCATCATCAGTAATTGTTCTAACGATGCATGCTGGTAATGGGGTGCCGTTTAAACAGGATGGATGCCCCTGGGGTTGGTTATTTGCCGTGTTCTGCAGGGTTTTTGACCATTTGTGTAAAGAGTCACATGGATTCTAGGCAGGAATGTGCGACCACTTTACTGTGTTCTGGTTGATTTTGGTCCCTCTCGTTTCCTGACCTGTACTTCGCGAATCCTTAGCCATAAGCATACAGGAACAGAAAACCCCATTCACCGGTAGTTGCATCTACGTCCTGCACACTCAAGTCACATTAGGTTGATCAACTTTCTGTCACTCCGGGTATTCTGATTCCCCACCAAGCATCAGGTTACGCGCCACTGTTGGTGGATTCATTATTTCTCTTGCCTACTGAACTTGACATTTGATTTGCAAGTGTCTTCTCATCATTCGAGAAGACATCGTCAGGGCGCTGTTGGTTTGATTTTGCCTCCCCCTTATATTTGGGTTTATAGAGTTTAGCTTAAAACAGCTTACATCTTTAATGTGATTCCGGTGGTTCCGGTCCTTTGGTTGCTTATTCGCCCGTTCCAGGTCTATGTTGCACATAGTCTGAGCTCTTATTAGCTTATTGGTTTGTCGGGCACCGTTGTTTTCAGTATTTTCCATTCTCTGTTCTGACTGCGCCTTCCGACAGCTGCCGTCCGTTTCGGTTCGCACGTTTTTGCACTTTGCTGGTCGTCCCGCTCGGTATATGGCTTTATTATTATTATTATTAATATTAATATTATTATTATTATTATTATTATTATTATTATTGGTGACTTATTCGGTGCTTTGTGTTATGCAAATCGTTTACTCCGATTAGTTGTTTCGCGATGAAATCTCCGGACAAATTACTGCCTGTCGTGCCCTTCTGGAAACTTATCAATAGGCATAATACCTTAGTTCTCTGCAGCCCTATGTCGTACTTGAAGATTCAGTCTTCTGCAGTTGTTTGGTTTTTTAATCTTTAAAACCACCTGACTCTGACGCAACGGCTATCAAAAACAGGCCGTGATCAAGGTAGGAGCATCCGCCTGATCGATTGACCCGAAGTCATTCATTCAGGTGTGGTGATCGAGTGAAACAACTAACATACGTAAATATCGATCCGAGTAGGTCGAGCGAGATGTAGCTGAATTCGTCAGCTTCCGTCACCTCGGAAAAGTTTATGTGGAACCTTATCCTTTACTGTATGGTCGAAACATGATGCGGAAGATTTGGGTTGGTACTCTGAATTCGGTGGGCAAAGCTCATTCTGGTGATTTTCATTTTAGTGAAACACTACATTTTGGATAGAGTGAAAGCGTATTCCTCATGAGACATTTATTTCATTCTTCGTTTGTTGCGAATTATTGATATTTTCCAGTGAAAACGTTTTGGTCCCATGCTTTCATTTCCTTCAGGAGGCATACTGTATGATGACAGGCTCCCTCCTGTTTCCCTTGCCGTGTATGGTTGCTACTACGTCATCTATTTAGCTATCTCCTCTGAGGCTTTCAGCCGACCTATTCGACCTCTGTCTGCCTTTGGACCTTCCTTTGAACGTCTAATGTTATCGTTCCATCAGTAACGCATTCCTCTGATAGTGAGCAGCAACGGTGTTTCAGCCGTCTAGCTACATAAGCATTAGCATCACACCGGTTCACCCTCGGCCATTTACGACAGGTGTGGGTAGTGAGGCTAGACTAAGAGGCCTCTTTATCCATGAATTCGTTGGATATCACATAAGGTGTGTTAGTGCAAGACCCAGTTGGGTACTTCACACGACCAATTAGAAGCTGAACATCCATTTCATGGATTCTCAACATTGGATGACAGTTCTGGTCACCAGAATCAAGGCTTCTTATGACAGACACTAGCATGCTCCCCCTGGGAAAACTACTTTCTCTGTGCAGTAATTATTCGGCCCTCATTGAATTTATGACCTCCACATAGTTGTTTAATGGCATTTTTTTCGTTTCCGCTGACCAAACTACCTCTGCCTCTGTGTAGGTTTGTCTTCCACTGGACTCTGCCGAAGAGTATTGCATCTTATTACCAGGAGTCCGGACGCGCCGGTCGAGATGGCAAACAAGCCTTCTGTCGCATCTACTACTCAAAGCAGGAAAGAAATACCGTCATGTTTCTGACAAATCAAAGTACAAATGTGAGTTGTTCTGCTGGGTTCTACACACTCCTGTTCCCGGTCGCCCCTATCTAGTCTTCGACAACCATTATTCTTTCTGGTTGCATGGCATCTATGCACCAAAAGAGTGACACAAATAAACGACGTAGAACAGCCCCTGTTTATTGGCACCTGCAGAGTGTTTGTATACCAGTTTTCTGAGAACGTCTGTGTATGTATGTGTGTGTAGAGACGGGAGGGCTGAGTTTGTATGGCCGAGAGGTTTATTATGCGGAGTAATCAGTTCTCAGCGCCGGTCGGTTTTCCTATTTTATCTTGACCGTTGGTGAGTTCTAACCATATTTTTACAATTGGTTACATGTTTCATATGCAAACCGACTGTAGTAGCTGGGATCCTTAGGGAGTTCTCTTACATAACGTGCAGACAGATCACTCCATTTTTGATGGCGTTCACTCTTTTCGTATCACGCTGTTTGACAACCAAGGATAATATTTCCAGTTCGTCATTTACCATCTAAGGCCCTAGAATTGACCATTGAACAGTTTGAATGGATGTTTTTTTAAGTTGTGTTGCGGACTTAGACAGTATAGCTTTTAATGGGTTTATCACCTTTTTAGTGTCCCGCAACGTGCTACACCAGTTTTTTCAACGCTGCGTGTACAACTAATTTTCCTTAGTTAATGCAGATTATCCGGTCATGTTACATTCAATTTGCGCCCGTTCCACTCGAATTTCATCTCACAATGTTTGCAGCATAGAAAGTCCGACTCGAAAAACCATGCCCACCGTAAGGACGATTTGGAGAAAATGGTCAACTTCGTGGAGTCCACTATGTAAGTGTTTATATTCTCAGAACTTAGTCTTTCTTGTTCCCTAGTGCTCGAAGCCAGTGATATTCTGTGTCAGTCGTTCACCGGATGTGACAGAACCGTTTTAAGTGCTAGATTATTCGGAAGGCGTGAGATTGCTCAGGTGGTTAGAACGCGAATCTACTGACCGGAGGGTCCGGGGTTCAAACCCGACCTCTGCATCTTGACTTCCCCTCTCTAGGCTTGGGTAACCTGGTAGTACCACAGCCCTCGTGCTTTCATCTGGTAGCATGGCAGCTAGGCATCGAAATGGTGCTACAGCTGAGCGATTTCTTCTCGGGAGCTAGCCACAACTTCGCTGTTAATTTCTACCTAGCTGCACAACCTTAACCTAGTAATTTTCAGATCTGAATGCATTGATTGTTGCATAAAGCAGACAGTGTGTCGTTCTTCAAAGATCACATTAGAGAAAAATGGTCCCAGTGTTTGACCGTTCCCCTTCCACTTGTGTTCTTTTGTTCACAATACTCCTTTCAAATCTGAATGCATTGATTGTTGCATAAAGTAGACAGTGTGTCGTTCTTCAAAGGTCACATTAGAGAAAAATGTTCCCAGTGTTTGACCGTTCCCCTTCCGCTTTTGTTCTTTTGTTCACAATACTCCTTTCAAATAAATCATGTTTGTGCGGAAGCGAACCATTGATGTTGAACGCTGATGTCATCCTGTCGATGATGATGGTGAGTGTTTAACCTGAGGACAACACTTCTCTACTGCATCTAAAGCTTGAGCAATGAAACCACTATGATGGGTTGACCTCCGTTGCTTCCATACACTAATGATTGCAGTTGCATTTCGTTCTAATGAATCATTCCCTCCATATAATCAGGCCCTCTCGATAAATCGGCAAACACCAACGCATCGTTCAGTCCTCACCAATTCACACACATGTCTTAACTACTGGTTTAGGCCACAATACTGAATGCATTCGTATATGCTCAACATTGGTTACGACTTGGGTGAGCGCTTCTTTATCCGACACTATCAGATAGCAGACTGCAGTGTCTCGTTCATCTACCCGGCTAGGGCACCCTTAGATCAACCAATTCCAGTTCACAGGTTATAGGCACTTGAANGCCCGTAGAGCGAAATGTAGCTGCTCGAAACAGTATACCATGACAGTCATCCGCGGCTCATAAGCTAAACTAGACTGAGGTCATCCCATGTATCCAGACTGCAACGGAAATTGATTGATTGGGGTCTGTTTTATGCAGACCACCTATTGGAACAGCTGATAAACGTGCAAACTACCGAAACAGATTACAAGACTCTGTTTAACCAGGTCGAAGCAACAAACTTGTGCTTTTCTGTAGTCTGGCCTATCAAAATGATACGGGGCACTATCCCAATAGGCTGAATCGACCTAGAAACTGTGAACCTGAGGCTTACGAAATATCTGGTACGGCACATACAGTACAATTCGCATCATGTGCCTAGCTTTTTAGTCAAAAGTGTATCCGCTGTTTCTTACAGTCAAACTGGATTCGTTCTTCACGATGGATAGAAGTTGTGGATCTTCCGTCTTTGGTGTTAATAACCTAGTCCACAAATTGTTTCCGGCAAGACAAAGCGCATTTGAGTCCCAGTAAACGATGTCGTTTATTTTTGATTAAGGTTATTGATATCACATAGTTTTCAGGACACTTTGAAAACTAAAAGATACCGCACATTCAACTTAGTTACTGTAAAATTAATCAGGTATTTAACTCCCGTGTGCCATCTAATCCAGTGTATCCGTGTCTGTTAACGGGATGTTCTTTATCAAATAAATGCGTAACTGATTATGCTGCTTTCATTTCCTGAGCTTGCGCACTTGGTTTATTCTTCTGTTTTACCAAGCTGACTCATTGACCTGTTTCCTTTTTAGTTGCCGTCATCGACAGCTTGCCGATTATTTCAATGATGAATCTCCACGATGCATCAATCGGTGTGATGTTTGTGTCAATAAAAACCGCGTGAGCGATAATCTTGCCGCCTTTCGAAGTTTAGCGTGGAGTGAGTCTTCACATGACCTCGAGTTCCCATTGTGGAACAACTGACAATACACTATCACAGATTTATGTCTTGATGTTTTTGGTGCTTTACTTTGATTCCTACTCTGTCCAATCAAAAGAGGGCGCAAATCTAAGTTGAGGAATTGTCAGAATGCTCATGCGATTGGATTATGAGAGCGTTTAACCTTTGTCCACACACTGTGGCAACCTCTTTACACACAGGCTGTATTGAGCAGCTCTGATTATTCACCAGCTTTTGGGAATCGGGCTCTCCGAATGCGTATATCAGAGTTCGGTACTTTCGTCCGGTCATACTGGTTTTCCACCGGCAAAGTGTAAGTAACCTGCGGACCTCTCCTAATATTACTACCCAGTGTACTTTTCGGCCTTTGATTCCGGTAAGTTATCGTGTAGAATCGAATGCCCCTTTAGCATTCTCTTCCATGATTTCTAGCTGGAAGTATCAAACGCTAACACAATACGTAAGAATATGCAGCACTACGCCTTGTCTCACTACAAGTTGATCATACTGTTTGTCGGTTTCTTTCCCTACTAGCCAGAGGTTGTGAGGTCGAATCTTGCTGGAGATTCGTGGGGTGTGCACTGTTGGTGAGTGCCAAGATATGCAGTGCTTCCTGGCGTTTCAGCATAGAATGACTCAACTCACAGAGCGGAATATCCATTGAAAAATATTGCGTTCGAATTCTTCAAATTGGTGGTCTCTAGTCTAGCGGTATCGGGGGCGCATTTAATCAGATTCTTCCTCGAGTGGAGTTCGTCAGGTCACACAAATTGCCCATCAGGCTGTTGCCGAAAGCTCGGGTGTCACGTTTTGAAGCTTTCGCTGTACTACTCCAATTTATCAGTAGTCTGCTTGTCCCGACGTTACCCGGCTACAGCACCTAGGTTGTCATCCCATAAGTCTCTTTTCCGTGCCTTATAACCCGGCTCAAATCTCGCATTTCGTATCTAATTGGCAAATATGTCCCTCCGTGCCTTATAACCTGGCTCAACGCTCGTCCATTGCATTTCGTATCTAATTGGCAAATATGTCCACAGCCCGTTCGGTTGAAGAACATCACCAATGAGATATGTAATTGAGATCCAGTTAGGCCTCTCGGTAATACCGGGCTAATTTGCACTTGATCGTTTAATTACACGTATGTACTGTTTGGTGCTCAAGAGGAACGTACGATCGATGGAAATTCTATGACTACGTCTCTGTGGTACGTCCCAAGCAGGCGGATTCCACTTGTGGGCTGTCGGGTTCCATCGACCTTATTTCATCTGCTGAACCTATACATGATACTCTCACTTTCCGTCACCTGTTTTCTTCACTGTCTAGATTCAACAACCGATGTACAGGAATGGAGCAACGCTTACTTTGATGAAGATACTGAAGCTGCTAGTCCCAGCCAGTTAGAAGAAAATGAACGGAAAGACAGAATGGCGGTCATTGAGGAGGAGTTTCGGAAGCGCCGAGCAAATGCTGATCGGAGTGACGTAAAGGTAATGTCTTCCATCCACCTGTTTGTGTTGAGAATTTCGCCCTTTTAAAGGTGTGCCGTGGCTTTGGTAGCCCGTCTTGTTAGTGGATGAATAAATTCGCGTCATTGGTACACATTTGAGACCTAGCTACTTTGGACATCTCAAATTTGAGCATATTGTGCACGTGCAAAACACTAACTTTCGCCAACGGATACTTCTTTTTCGTACTGGATAAGTTACGTGGAGCAGCTTTTGACTCAAGGTTCCAAGGAGATTTCATCTTTTAAGTGAAGCCAATGTATGCTGAGAATCCGAGAAGCACTGTACAGCTGTTTACTTATCGGGAATCGTCAGCAGTACGGATCTCACGAAATTCCAGTGAGTTCCAAACCGCAAACTTCCGGTTTAACACTTAACAGTTCGAAACTTTCGTTAGTTTGGTGAAATGCGCACTGCTAAAGACTTTCATTATGGATGACACAGTTTTACGTTGTCGTCCAGCTTTTCAGCATGCAGTGGCTTCACCTAGAGGATGAATTCTTCTATGAAATTTCTGAAATCCCCCCACCAACAATCAGGAGAACTTGTCAAGCCGCTTTGATTTTTAATTTTTTGAGAACTGTCTCTTTGTAGGCGTTTTGTTGAGGGAGCGCGAATTTGCTAACCGAAAGGTCCGTGGTTCGAACCTGACCTCTGTTTCTCGACTTCTTCTGTCTAGGCTTGGGCGACCTGGCAGTATCCCAGCTCTCGTGCCTCCTTCGTGTGGCATGGCGGCTAGGCACCGAAAGGGTGTTTACAACTGAGCGATTATGGAAATATTTCAACATATTCAAAAATCCTTAAACTGTAACACCCTTTCGGTGCCTAACTGCCATTCCACCAGAAGGAAGCATGAGAACTGGAATAGTGCCAGGTTACCCCAAGCCTAGACGGGGGAAGTCTGGATCCAGAGGTCGGGTTCAAACCATGGACCTTTTGTCAATAGACTCGCGCTCTAACCACTAGGTCATCCCGCTCCTAACATTTTTGAAACCTAATTTTCCCGATTTAAGCAACAAGTATATCCCTATGTTAATATGTAGATTACTGCGAATGTACTTGCACAAACACCACTTGGCACGACCCTGAACAGACACCCGAGGTGTCTCCACAGGTCGTCAGCTTAAGCATACCACTTAGCTGCACATAATCATGTTAGTGGTATCTTGTACTGACCGTTGTGTGGAAGCTGATAGCGCACCTTACTTTAATTCAGATTTCATATCTTATGATCTTGTAGCCATATTAATCGGAGGGAGAAAACCGAAAACCTCATTCTATGACTCCATGGGAATATTTCATCTGATCTAAAAGCCCATTGGATCAAGTGGTTTTACTGTGACCTCTTTTCCTGTTATGGGAGCCGTCTGTTCCTCCGTCGGGTTCGCTGAGCCATCTCCCGTCAGTACTTTTTTATTGGTTGTGTGGGTATTTATCCATCACAATAAGGTCCCCTGCATCGTCATATTACGCGCAAATTAAGAAAAAAATCGCCCAACTGTAACATTCTTCCGGTATCTAGCTGCCATGCTACCCGAAGGAAGCACGAGGGCTGGGATACTGCCAGGTTGTCCAACCCTAGACAGGGGAAGTCGAGATGCAGAAGTCGGGTTCGAACCACGGACCTTCCGGTCAGTAAATTCGCGCTCTAACCACTTGAGCCATCTCGCGCAAATTACATGTAATAAGAAAGCTAGTCCAGCTTGCCAATTTCTACCGGGCATTTTGATTTTTCATCAGGTGCCAATTGGTCTGTTCACCGAGTTTGGCAATTAGCCTGCATGCATTGCGGATCTTCGAATACAGCATCCAACGGGTAACGTTGGCAACAACTGTCCGTATGTGTAATTTCTCATTTGAACTTCAGTTGCTCTCACAAACATGTATCGATTTCGAATAACATTATCCGTATGAATTTCCATGACTTTCATCAGTCTACTTGGGCTGCTGCCCCGGAACAATCGTCTCTCCTCAATCCGAATGATCGCTCCCTCACCGGGATCACCGGAAAAGCTCGAGATCAAACATTCCAGCTTCTGTTGACTGCAATGAAATCGCATTTTCCTTACGAAGACGACGGTTCTCTAATCAAAGTCTGTGCTACGGCGGAGTACGCTATGTTCCAAGAATCAAAGGTCAGTCTTTCGTCATACACGTTTGCACGCATTGTCTTAGTTAGTGGGACATCTTGCACCATACAGTCCTACGCGATCTACTCTGTGCACGGATCCCTCTGAATTTTGTCTCAACCTCCCCCACTGTGAACGTGCTTAATTGACACAGATTTCTACATACTCAACTTGAATTTCTGTCAGTTCGCACGAAATTGTGCATCCAGATTACGGTCGATCTTGCACATCCAGTCGATTGAAGTTTTGCAGTTTGAGAGTTAGCGCTTGTCGCCAAAGTATTACTTATCGAAGCCACTCAAATCGTATTTTGACTTATCATCGAATTGTGTCTTGTTTCCTTGTTTTTTGTGGGGTAAAAGTTAGTCGGGGAGCACTGAAAGATTACGGAGATTTCTGGAAGATTTTTCAGTACCCGACATCACCGAATGATAAACATTACCCCCACCGTAAGCCACGGTGGTTTAGGATATTTTAGGGTCGTAGCCTGTTTCTTCCTTCAATACATAATGCGTGTATTTCATTATGATGACGGCCAGGAGCCTTCTTTTATGAACCCGTTTTCTGGTGCGTTTGTGTGTAATACTCCCTGTGTCATTCCAATTCTACACGTGCCTCTGTTGTTTCTATTCGATACAGGTGGCCGCTATGTACCGCACTCGAATGGCGAGACTAATCACTCAAGTTCGACGTGGAGAAACTACACCAGAAATGGCTTTAGAAATTGTCCAGGCTAAAGCAAAACATTTGAATAAACCACAACCATCGGAGCTTGATGATGTGGGCGTCGTGAAGACTGGACCCAATGCTTCCACGTTTCCTGGCTCATCTGTATCCGATCGCTCGCATCAGGTATACTGTCCAATGTCTGTCGTCTTGGGTCTTTTTTTCTAATAAAATCTGGTATTTCCCGATTTAAAAACAAGAATGACAACATATACCAACTACTGCTGTACAACTCAATAATATCTTGTATGGTGACGGGCTCGACAGGAGAATCCCACAGTCTGGCCGATTCAGCTTTTTCAAATTAGTGTACATCCAGTGATTCGGTTTCCATCAAGTTCAATAGAGTGTTGAGCGGGCTTTCTTTCCCATCAGTTAAGAATTAAGCAGTCCTGTCATAGTCACTAGGAACGACCAGTCAGATTCGACTTTTCATGTACGACCGACCAAGTAAACCCAACATTTCCACACCACCAAAAGCTGCCATTGTACCCCAATCGGTGGATGGGCAGCTTTTCAAATACCGGTTTGCATATAATGGACCAAGTCTTAAACTTAATCCGAATCCTCTCTGAGTGTGTGGATCCGATTCCACCGCCTAACATGGCCACTATTTCCGTCCCCGTGAAAAGTTGCCTTTCTATGACGGACGGGCCAATGGAAGTTCTACACAATGTAGGTTATCCGAGTGATCCCAGATCCCATACAAAGGTTTGTTTTGAGCTTTATAGTTTCACGTTGTCTTGAAAGATATGCTCGCTCAGCTGACCCATTTTATTGTCTGCTGTGGTGTAGGGTTGATCTGAGCTACCCTCAGGGCTGTATAAATTTTTTGTATGGGTGAGCGTTCAAATGCTCTGCCCAACTAAATCCCAAAAACAGACACGATCTCCAGTTCTGCTGTGGTGTAGGGTTGATCTGAGCTGCCCTCAGGGCTGTATAGATTTTTTGTATGGGTGAGTGTTCAAATGCTCTGGCCAGCTAAATCCCAAAAACAGACACGATCTCCAGTGAGCACATTTACTGCGTTACTTCTGTTGACTTGGCGAAGTAATGCAGTTTCACAGCACTTCGCGAAATAGCCTGGGAGGATAAGTATGTAATTACCTTTTCGGAGTTGCGCCCGTCGGTCTTTCAATTCGAGTTCCATCAGGTTATCGAGCTCGAGATTGCCCAGTGGTTATAGCGCCAGCTTACGAACCTGAAGGTCCGTGATTCAAACCTAACTTCAGCATTTCCACTACCTATGTCTAGGCTTAGACATCTTTGCACTATCCCAGCCTTCGTGCTTTCTTCCGTTACCTCTTATCAAGTTATTTGGGTGGCCAGCGTACGTTTCTTGTAGCAGTCTTTGGTGCCAATATTTTTTTAACTCGCATGTTTGACGTGTTTTGACTACTTGAAACTAGACTAGTCGGGTCTCTTTGAATCAGCAGAATAACCGAGTAACACGTTTATATTATCTGTATGTGCTCCAACTAACCGCGTCACTTATACGGAGAGGTGACTTACGGCGAGACCCTAAGGGACTCCTCCGGATGGCGCGTATCACTGTACATGCTAGTGGAAAGTCGAAACAGACTTGGCGATAGAATCACACAGATGTTCCTGAACTGAAAACCGTGATTGCTTCAGGCAGCTCCGTAATAATAATCTATTTGTCCGAGGTGCGGATCCTTCAGGAACATTGGATCACGTGGTTACCGCAGCAAATCAACCACAAATTAACCGCATAGCGATCAGTTGTGGTTCGAGATCGTTTTTCCAATAATATCTATATTCGAAAACACGGTAAACTCCAATCATGCCTTTTTTCGTGCCCACCCTCCGGTTCATGAACTACTCATTTGTTGGGTTTGTTGGTAGTATGAGGATATTCTGAATGTCCGTGAGTGGAGCTGGTCTATTTCAAAAGTGTGCGTCGATCTCGCAACCTCCCAGTTATGCTGAACCGTTCGGCCACGCGCGACTGATCAGCAGTGTGATTAGCTCGCTCTTAAACAGGATATAGCTTTTCAGTCAGCCGTGGTCGAACTGTTCATTCTTCCGCTACTAGCCGATAATTTGCAAGTTCGAATGTCACTGGTGATCCGTGGGATGTGTGCTGATGGCTACTCTCAATGAAGATGAAGAAGCT